TTTCTCAAATAAAAAAATTTCAAAGTTATTCTTAAATTTATTTCTGAAATAAAGAAATAAAGTTTAGTGTTGTTCTCAAATAAATTTCTCAAATAAGTAAATTTTGGAGTTATTCTTAAATAAATTTTGAAGTTATTCATAAATCTATGTCTGAAAGAAAGAAAGAAATTCCAGAGTTATTCTGAAAGAAATTATCCTATACAGCGGCACGAGCTCTTTTTATAATAAATCGATTCTTCTGAAACTTGAAATCACCGTTTCAATATTTCAATGGTACTTCGTTTCTTACGTGAATGAAATACTCAACCATAGTGTTGTATTCAACTCTGCATTACCCTTCTATAGCTCTCCTTTAATTCCAATTGATTCTAACTTTTTCTTTAATTCAGAATCTTTTATCTGTATGATAGTTATCAGATGAACAAAAGGTATTCCCTGACCTCGTTCTATCCAAACAGCATAGGGAGGAGGAGAGAAAAAAAAATGTTAAGAGAATCTCAGAGCACAACCGTTACCTTTCTACAATTATATATTTTCATTTAATTACATAAAATCCAATGATAAATCTAACTGTTACTCCTAATTGCGAAAGGAAACTGCTAGCGAAGAAACTTTTACAGTTGCAAAAATTTTATAACAAACATTTACAGAGTATAAAAACATTAAATATGGAATATTTACAGAATATAAATTTTCCATTTTACAAAATTTGTAAAGTATAAATTTTCAAAATAGAAATTTAATTGTTCAAAATTATCAACTGAAATAGTCCTCCTTTCAACGCAGCCTCTCGTTTACCACCGTATCTACAGTTCCAGGACCAAAGGGACGAAAACAGTTCGTATTCCCAAATCACACGAGTGAAAAATACCAGAAAATTTATCTAAATAACAAAGTGTACGGCCGGTAAAGCAGGATCAACATCGCTAACCCGAAGAAACCCTAACTCTCACGTAAATCTGTTTTCACGTCTCTGCATCGGAACACGCACGATTCATCTATTCCCCGATTAGAAAACGATTCTCACGGGCCGGGCGTCGCGTTAAGGAAAAACAACGTGGAACGATCTCTGGAGAAAGATAAATTCACAGATCCTTTCGGTATTCAAAGCCCTTCGGCGATGTTCTGATGCGGCGTGTCCAACGATCCCGATGCGGTGTGCGTACGCGCAAACTTAATTAACTCGACGCCATCTAAAGAGGTATCAGGCGTAGATATTTTTTTCGACCACCGGATACACCACCGTGAGAGAAACCATCGAGCCTCGAAGCTTTTCCCTACCCTAGCCCCCTTTTACATCCGCGTAATAACCGCGATCCAACTGGATTCCAGTGGTTCTCACCTTCGCGACGTGGATTTTTCAATTCCGGAAGTACGTCGACCCCGTGGTGGTATAGGGCCTCCTCTTGTCTGGTCACGAACATTTCAAATTGGTCGTAGAAATACCGCCTCCGGCCGAAGAATTTATTTCCAACCAGCCGGATACCTCGAAGGATGCCTGTCGAACCAACTCGAATCATTGGGTACGGTATTGTTGCACAGGGATGTTACCCAGCTTATTTACGAGTAAGACATTTCCACGATGTGATTGATAGATACGGTCCAATCGTCATATGTAATCTGGAAATTTAGAGTTTTGTGAATGGTACTGTTGGGTTTCGCCTTTGGATATGAAAAGACTTCTTATCTTTGGACACTGGAATTCTTTTCATAAATTTTCGATAATATTCTATCAAATTTACAAAATATTAATTGAAATTTACAGAATAATCATTTTCTATTCTACAAAATTCATAGAAGCGCAAACACACGTGTCCAGCAAGATCATTCCTTTCTTCAGACTTTCTTCATCAAAACGTGACTCGATCGTTAGATCCTACTCGTTAAATTAATTACTAAATATCCAGGAATTAATTTATCAAGAATACACCTGTAAGGTGCACCAGGATCTCAATCCTTCGAATAGCACACGTCTACGATAGACATACTTAATAAATTGAAGTATAACCATTTAAAAATTATCAAAATTATTGAGATCTTTGATCTTTTACGCTTCTAAGCGATCTTCTAAAATTCTAATACACAGCGTTAAGATGAAACCAACGACCTGTTTGTTTTAGCTCGCAGTAGAATTTAAAGGGAGCGCGTAACACGCTAGAAAATCAGGTATTTACACCGAACAATTTTAGACATTGGCAGGCTTGTTTATCGAATCGCGCCACGTAACAACCACAAACAAACTTCGATAAAAGAACAAAAGGAGCTCGGTACTCGTGGTATCCTCCTGCGCACGTATTTCTCAGCCGGGCTTTAAACGCATCTGTATTCTAAACATTTTCTACAGATACTTTAAATATTTATAACCTTTACTCTCTATGTTCGAACCATTTTCTTTCACTAAACCGAGACCATAGTTTCCATTGCAAAGATAATTCGGGACTGTGGATGCTACTACTTGTCAAAGTTCTAGTTCAAAGCTGCTCCTTTCAGTCTTGAAGGTTGATCTTTTTATTCGTTATCTTTTTTGGATAATACTCTTCTATCTACCGATGAAAGACTCTGTAATATGTATTTTACAAGTCACGTATAATTGAAATTGTTCACTTTATTATTTACTCTTTTATTAATTTTTTGAAATTGACATTTTCTTTGGAATTTTCCCCTTATTTTCGGATATGTTTAGAATTTTTCTTAACATAATTCAACACTTGCAGTTTTGAGAAAATATTTAAAAATTTGTTTGAAACACCAAATTGGAACTTTTTGCAAGGATTGTAAGGATTGAAATGGGGCAAAGAGAGAATCGATCCAGGCTGTGACAAGGTTACAATAGCCTCTATCAGACAGATCTCTATTTTTCTTGTTGAAGTGATCCTAATAGATACCCTGAGGCGTCTAGAAATAGGTAGAGTTCGGGAATTTTTTTCTGAAGTAACTACTTTTTCAGAGGATACGAACGTGGCTTTCAGCTTTCCTCTTCAATTTTTAATAACTGAAAATATTAAAAAATGGAGGAGTTATTGCGAAACTTCTTCTACTAGAATATCAATTACCGACCGCCATCACCAGCAAGGATTGGAGCGTCTGAAATACCAAAAACTCGACTTTCAACGTTTGTAAAAAAATTAAGTAATTGATATATCAGAAAAATGACAAACCACATTGTAAACAATACATTTCTATTTATAAATCAGAAAGAATTTTCTATTTCAGACGTTGAAATCGATGGCAGCCAGCAATATTGTTCTAGCAGAAGAAGTCTCGCAATAACTCCTCCATTTTGTAATACTTCTACTTTTCAAAAATTGAAGAAGAAAGCTGAAAGTCGCGTTTACATCCTCCGGAAAAATTGAAGCTCTCCAATGAGCACTTACCTACGAAAAAAATTCCCAAACCCTACCTATTTTCGGACGCCCGAGGGTGGCTTGTACCCCCTTAAAAAAATCATCGAGAAAGGAAATTGTTCTTCCGAATAGATTGCCAAAGTCCACAGGGTCTGGTTCTTCGAATCCAGTGAATTAATAATAGACTCGGTTCGATTCAAGGAAGGTCGCGGTGCGGAGCTTCTCATTCAACTCCTCTTCCTGCTCCCTGACAGTCGATACGTGACGAGATTTCGCCTCTAATAGCTACCACGGCCACTTTTAACAAAGTTCCATGAAGGTACGTTCCCCCTATTTTTTTCTTCTTCTTGTCTTCTTTAACGTCTGCCTCCCACTCGAACTCCTTCAATCGTCGTACATATGTACATAGATTGCGAGAGTGTGCGTGTACGGATCTATGGATTCCTCGAACACACGCGAAATCCACGGAGTATAAAAGCTTGCAAGACCTGTTTTCGCGATTGCCGTGTCCCGAGGAATCCTGTTGCGAGAACTACGTCCCAGGAGTAGACAGCCAGGACAGTCCTTTTCAGTCTGCAGCTCTGCACGGTTTTCAGAATTTCGCCTAGCTCTCCGTACCGAGGTAAGGGAATACACCTGTCTGTGTGTGCTTGTGTGTATGTATGTACGTATGTACTTGAGTTTTCCGAAGAAGTCTGGCTAAGCTTTGGCAAAAGGTTCACCTGGAAAAGGACTACGAAAGTAGCTTGTTTGAGAAGTTTCGAGTTTGCAGCGAAGTGAGACTTTAGGTCGAAGTTTAGGCGAAATTGAGATCGTTCGATATTGCCTGGAAGTGGAATGTTTTAGATAGGGTTTTTTTTTTTTTTTTGTAAATTGTGATATTGCAAGGGTGATTTATTTGAGGATTCGTCGATTAATTAAGGTTTCAGGTGAGACGTTAGGTGTTGGAATTTCTTTCGGTGTAGCTATTGTAGATTGTGATATTGTTGAAGGTAATAGAGTGGTTTTTGATTATTAGAATTTCAGTAGGGAGATTAGCAGATTTCTTTAGAATCGTTGCTCTTTCATATCTGGTTATTCTTCGACGAAGCAAATCTGAGGCTTCTGACGTCATCGCCCGACAAAGTAAGCGAAAAATAGGCGGTCAGGCTGTTTCTACTACTCTTTGGTATTGTACTGTGTCGTTTGAGGGGAAATTGCGGTTTAGGTAAATGGTATAGACAAATGATTTTCAATCAGCTATCGATAATGCAGCAAACAGATAAGAGAACAAGAAACTGAAGATTACTTAGTCGCTTTGTCCTCTTACCTGCGTTGGCGCATAAATCAAACATTTAACAGCACAAACGTTCATTTCCAAAACGACTCGTACACGATAAATTGCATTAATATTAGAAATTTGTGCTCAAAATGTATCAATATTTTTTCAAATTTATAAAACTGAAAAGGAAACATTTTTCTGTCGTTCCTGAATGATAAAAGTAATTTTCCGCGCTTTAAGAAATTGCTCATGAAGCCCAAAAATTTTCTGACTGTAATGAAAGATAGGACGAAATGAAAATAAAGGAAAGTAATTCGTTGACAATGAAATTACCCGATATTTCTCTTTCTTAGTAAATTACACTTTTCCTCAAATTATTACACGTTAAAGAGCTGAGTGCACAGTGCCAATAAAATTACCGTTCGTCGATTAAGGAATACAGTACATTTTTATATAAACCGTTGATTTCAACAGAGAGAGGATCGTCGTTGCAAAATTTTTATATAACCGATTTCCATCGCAAACTCGTATCCTTCGAACGGTAGATCATTCCTCTGATTTACTTTCCTCTGCATCTCACAGCTGTCTGCTAACAGCTAGCACCTCGTTTCACCAACCCCCGGCTATCGAAACCATTAAAAAGAAATCGGTGGAAATAAATAAACGGAGCTTCGTAATTTCGATTTCAAGAAGTGGTAAAACCGGTTGTACGATTCGTGATGCAAGTTTCCACGGAGATGCAAAATAAGCGTTATGGTAATTTTAATAATCCCGAGGAGCCGGGGAGAAAAAGTACCATTTTTCAAATTTCAGGAAGTGTTTAGGTATCGTCCCCTTTTCCTCCCAGTTTCGACGAACGTGTAAAATGATTATGATAATGATCATCTGCAAGGATAATTTGAATGATATAAAAAAAAAAGTGTGCCTTTCGAAATTTCGTTCCCAAAAGTTTCACTTTACATAAGTTGATCCGTCACACATATGGACACGCAGATATATCTCTTTGTCACAGCGTGGTAATAAGTAAAACGAAGATTGAGAAATATAAAGTCGAGTACACTTTGTCAACAGAACACCAATTATCACTTGTATTATACTTTTCACTCTCTACACTTGCAACGTTTGCTAAAGTAATCACCTCGTTTGCAATCTTCAAGAATATCCTCTTTCTGTTTCTGAAGTCACTTATCACCTTTGGTTTACTTTTAGTGATTCCTTGTATTCTCAAAGTCCACGGTGAAAAGTAGTTTTCCAAAATGACAGCTGTTTTGTTTTCAAAAATAACAGAGTTTCGAAATAGTTTTCCAAAAATAACAAATATTTCATTTTCAAAAATATATAAGAGAGTTTAAAATAATAAAAAATTTTCAAAATAGATTTCCAAAAATAACAAATATTTCATTTTCAAAAATATATAAGAGAGTTTAAAATAATAAAAGAGTTTCAAAATAGTTTTCAAAAATATATAAGAGAGTTTCAAAATAGATTTGCGAAAATAAGAAATATTTTATTTTCAAAAATAACAGAGTTCCAAAAATGTTACTTATCGCCTTAATCCTTCAAATACACAGATGTCCGAATTTTTTCAAAAACTTCAAAGAGCACTGCTCGTCGTACACATGCACATTCTTCTAAAATCCGCAGGAAAGGGAAAATTTCAAACAAGTGATTATGCTCTTTTCCAGACATCCACGATGTTACTTCCCCTGCTACTTCTGCCCTTAGTGGCAGCCGTGCCACTCAAGCCAACCCTGGACAAGTACACTCTGGACATCGAGAATGAAACGCTGAGGAACATCCAGTTCCACGGCGAACCCGTTTCCTCGCTGGATCTATCCAGCATGGGAATTCGTTACGTCGAGAAAAACGCCTTGGACAACGTGGCTTCGTTAAAGTCCTTGAACTTGGCCAACAACTCTCTCGAATCGCTTCCAGAGTTCATGTTCTCGAATCTCACGAATCTGGAGTATCTATCCTTGGCGGAGAACAAGCTGAGCAACCTAGAATACCTGTTCGTCCGCTTGGAGAAGCTTCGAGTATTGAACATATCCTGCAATTCTGTGATACACCTTCGTCGTGGACACTTGTTCGGTCTAACGAAATCCACAACGATCCTAACAGACGGGAACGTCTTCTGGAGCATGAGCACAGGAACTTTCACGAACTCGTTCCTGAAAGACGACGAAGAACTGAAGCACATAGAGAAAATGAAGTCCGAGGTGGACGTCGAGCAAACGAGCGACGTAATGGAGAAGCAAATGGAACAGACGACAGTAGGTAACACGTTGAAACTGGAGAAAACCACACCAGCCCCTAAACTCGAGATAAGGAAAGGCCAGAAGCTGAAATTATGCATGCCGGATCAGATAGTCCTCTCGATAGAACCGCTCGAAGGGAACAAATCAGTCGCGAACGGGTGTCTAGAACTGCCGATAAACGAGAGAGAAAAAACTGTGAGCCTTCGCGGATTGGGCATCAAAGGATTCCACGAAGGATGGTACCAGTTCCAGCATTTCATGGTAGTCTCCTTGGATCTAGCCAATAACGACATCACAGAAATCACGAAGGAGATGCTGAACGACCTGCCCGAAGATTTGATCTACGTGAACCTGATGGGTAACAGAATCAGAGGTGTCTGGAGCCAGGTGATCGAGAACAAACACCTGAGAATGTTGAATCTTAGAAACAATCTCATAGGAAACTTCGAGGAGAACGCGTTGTCGAGAACGAACTTGACCACTTTGTTCCTCGATGGGAATCAACTGGAGGACCTCTCCTTCGTTACCAGTTTGCCGAGAACTATGACGGAGCTGGTGTTAGCCAGGAATCAGATCTCCTCCATCTCGAACGGTGCATTTTCGAACCTGTCCCGTCTGGTTTACCTAAACATAGCCGATAACAAGATCACAAAGCTGCAGGATAACGTTTTCAAGGGATTGGACTCGCTCCAGGTGCTCATTATAACGAGGAACAGCCTGACGAAGATCGAACGACAGGCGTTCAGCGACCTGAAGCAACTGAGCACGCTCTATCTTCATCGAAACTCGTTGACAGAGCTCGAGAAAGGTACGTTCTCGGAATTGGAGAGTTTGAAAGATCTGAACTTAGCCTGGAATAAGTTAGAGAGGATCACCAAGGATTCGTTCGCCGATTTACCGCAAACTTTGGACTTCCTGCATATCGATTTAAACGGAATAAACAGTTTAGAGAAGGGTAGCTTCGTCAACGTTCCCAGATTCACCTTGTCTCTAACTGGGAATAAAATTTCGAGCATTCCAAGGGGCGCCTTCGATCTACCAACTTTGAGAGACTTGCATCTGAACAACAACACCTTGACGACCATAGAAGGCGACAGTTACGAAGGTCTGCCACAGTTGAAACGTTTATGGCTGAACGAAAATCAGATCACAGAGATACCTAAAGGTTCTTGCAAGAATTTGGGCAGCTTGAACATCCTGGACATATCGAAGAATCCTTTCCAGAAATTGCAAAATGGCGCTCTTTACGGACTGAGCATGGTTAGAGGAAACTTCTTGTACATATACAACAACCAGCTGAAGGAACTCGAGGGTGGAGTCTTCGATGATGTTTAATAGGATCGATGCTGCGTTCATTTCTCTCGTCTCTTGTCGTTTACGAATACTTTTATTTAATACAGAGATACACTGTAAGCTTAGATTTACGATTTATCCGATAACTAAAAAGATCTTCAAGGATTGTGCTTTAGTTTGCTATCTGTTTGCGGTAGTTTATAGTTTCAAGCACTTCTGCCGAGTATCTGGTACCTACATTACTCACGTTTATAACCAACAGTTGCTTTATACGTCTGTAATCACCTGCACGTGTGATATGAGTTTCTCGTTGAGATATAAGGACTGTTTTCTGATGGAATAAACAAGCACTTGCGAAAAATATATTATTTGGAAAACGAATA